TTATTAATATCATTATGATTATGATTATAACTATTATTGTTAATGTATTCGCTATTACACTGTACTCATATTTTTATAATGTATTAAACTCCATTACAATACGACGCATCGTCATATAACTAACATAAATATTAGATCTTATTTCCATCGTTTTCTTTTATGTCAATTTGACTATCACACGTTAGCTATCAATATTACGAGAAAGTCAGCATTTATTTAAGCCTTAGCACCGCTTCCACTACCACTGCCGCTGCCACTACCACTGCCAACGCTGCGCTTGAATTGCTTGTTGTCTGCTTTGACGTTGTTGATGACGAAGCCAACGGGAAGTTTTTTGTTCCAGTAGAAACCGTTGATTGAGCCTCTTGGTTTTCTGATATGGCGCGGGCTCCTTAGACGTGGTGCGCATTCCTGGAACAAATACAAGCCATGATTATTGCTGGGTTTCACGTGACGTCATTTCCTGCCTCGTGTAAAATGTCACCTGGATCACATGTTTTGAATAAAAAATTTTCTGGTTGAAAGCACATGGTGGTCAGTGTTTGTACATCATTTGGGGCGGATAATAATATTCAAAGACTTTTATCAGCTGGTTGAAACCTTGCACACCTCTTTACCTTGGGCGTAATGTTTTCCTATTTCATACCACGTGTCATTCCCTAGAGTATCATTTCTTTGTTTAACYGTTGTGCACGAGAAGGTACATGAATATGGATACAACTCAAACAAAGAGTCATAATCTCAAGATAATGGCACGTGGTCTGAAATAAGAAAATATAACGGCCAAGGTAAAGTAGTCTATTGAATGTGCACACTATATACAGATACTTACTGTTAGTACAGCAAGGCAGACAACTGCCAAGATGAAAAATCCTCCTCTTGAAAACTTCATGATGCTGAGAGAAGAAATTGTGATGACATTAATGGCATAGCGAGAGTCTCAGAAATGGGGAGGCGCGCGCGCGCGTTTTGGCGGCAAAATTCCCGCCAAATCCACGATCCACAGAAACTCCATCGGTATAACTCATAATAGGTCACTTGCATCGTAGCGTCATTTATTAAAACTACCAGAATCTCTTCCACACTTTCTCTTGTTCAGTTAATTAGCAACAATTGCCTGACTATTCTTATGAGGAAATACAAATTTGAATAAGAAAGAAAATTCGCGAAGCATTTTGGTAGTGGTCAGTAAAATGACGCCATCATCCAAACGGCCTGTTGAATCATTTGGTCACGATGGATTTTTCTGTTAGACTTTCTTGAAAGTCAAAATACTCAAAATTCAAACCTGAATTTATCTTCAGGATGAATGGATTATTCAAGTTTCTCTTTGTTTAAGTGTAGAAACCAATTTTGGGTTAACGGGTTAGGGTGCAATTGGGACGTAAGTTCTGGTTCCTTTCTCCCGTCACCTCCCATTTTATTTTGACTTATTGTGTTAAAGTTTCCGTTATTGTTATTTAGTTTATTTGTAATGTATTGTTGTTGGGTTTTTTTTTGGTGACGAACTCATTTTAAAAACTAGACTAAACTAAACTTAACTAATTTAGGCGACGTCAACTATTCAACATTTTGATGAAATTCCCTCTGTATCCTACCAGGTTCCCTTGATCCTACTGATTCTTTTGAGATTTACAAGTAATGAAATTTTAAAACATGCAATTCCGGAGAGGCTCTGCACTTTGTTGAGCTTGAATTTTAATATCTCAAACGTGACGTATTCGCAAAAATCAAAACGGCTATTAACGGGAAACTCGCGGGACAACGGTGAGACAAAACACTAATGGTATAACCTGTACGGGAAAACTAGTTGAGTTGTGTCGACTTACGTTGGCTGCGAAGTTGTTAGCAAATATTCATAGCAAATATGATTTGGGTTTTGAATATCATTTACTTGTTTATAAACATATGGGTAGCTAGCGTGATAAAAACGAGTTTGCCAACAAAAAATAAAATAGAAAATGTCGAATCTTATATACTAAATTATGGGCAATTAAATACCATTTGGCAGCAATGTATACTAAACCAATAGCCCGTTTGACAAAATAATCTAGTGAGTGCTCAGAATAAAAAGATTTGAAAAATACTGGAGTAAATATGTGAAAAACGAAGAAAATGAAATCAGGCAATAAGAAATATAACTTTGATTATTCAATATTCAAAAAAAGGCTCTCAGCGACATAAAACTGAGAACTGCTATTTTCTACTGCTACACGGTTACTTACTTTAAGCGTTGACCTGTTTGACTTGACTTGGTTTAGCTGTACGGGTATTTCACTCTCAGATCCCCAAAGATTTCTATATGAATGAATAATGCCTTTTCGGAAGATCCTTTAAGTAGAACCTACGAGTTATTATGCGCTCCTTAAAGCATTTCTTAAATTCTCGCCTTAATATTTTTAAGTATGACCATATCTTACCACACCAGARGTGCTGGTCGAGTATGTCGATCCGTTAATGACCACCCGCAGGGCCATATTGTTCTTGGTGATCAAAGTGACATCGTAGGACGCCTTCATATTTATTATTGAGGTGTAAATGACTTATGGTTTATGTGAAGTCCAAATTTTCACGAATGACGATCGATGTAACGTGAGAAAAACTTCACCAAGACATTTCCAAGTGTTAGTTTTGCTTATGGAATCACCAAACTTTTTTTAAAAAAAGACGAAATTAGAAAAGTATTTAAAAGCATACCTCTTTTGCTTGCTCTTGGAAGAGAATAAAGGATGTTTCCTGTACCATTGCTAATTATCCTACATGCTTCATGTAATCTCTTCTCAAGAGTATGCATCTTGAGAAAGAGAATCTCTCAAGATCCTCAAGTTCGAATAAAAAACGTTCCCGCGAGATTTCGACATGGTGCATTTGAACATCCCATTGCTTCTGTGTTAGAAGAGGGATCGAGGAATTTGTTCCTTCTGTTTTATGCAAGTGGTGATCACTCTGACCCTGCTTCTAAAATTAATTGACAACTATATATGCTTTATAAACAGGGTAACGCAATCAGGTTGGGCGACGCCTTTTCCAACGTGACTGGTTGACAAGAAGCGTGACTATGGTCACGAAAGGTGGTCAGAGTCAGCGAACCCATTTCTCAAGAAATGCGAAACCTGTACATTCTTTCGCAATGTAGAAACATCACTCCTTTTGCAAAAATATCGTCATGTAAAAATAAAAAATATATAGATTATTACATGTTAAGAGTTTGAAATCGTTATTATTCACCTCCATATCATATTGCAAACAAGCGAGCAAGCGAGTCCAAGAGCAAGTGAGCAATATGATAAGGAAAACATGATGATTYGTTTATTACACATTTAGGGTCGATACAATAACAAAGCTCACAGTTTACAGCTTACAGTGAAGTGATATTTTAAAACTTCACTGAAGTGATATTCTTTGTGATAATTGTACACCATATCAGGGAAGTGATATTTTAACACTTCACTTAAGTGATATTGAGATAATTGTATCATTTCACCACCTGTGTGCCAGAGGTTTCCTGTTGTTCCCTTCTCTCTTTTGTTATTTTCGAGAAGCTAAGCGCAGGAACTAAAACCCCTCGTCTAAAGCCCCCGAAACAGGCGTGAAGCCCCAGAGGATCTTACCGCGCACCTGTAGCTCCGCAGGCTGCCTACACTAACCAAATGAGCTACACCTGCTCCTATACGATGTATTCATCTATAATGTGTATCATATCATTAGTCTGTTCAGTCTATATAAGTAGTTTTCCCCCGTTTTTATTACCTTGGACCTTTAGATTATTTGGCAGAAGGAAATATCCAGCATCCATTAGATTGGAACGAAAGCCAAACGAAACATTGAAATATTTGTTCGATACCATCTAAGGTACGACTAATTAATTGCCGACTTAAGATCAGAGATGAGCTCAGAAAAACTATGAGCCACTTTAATACCTAAATGCATCTTACGATCCGCCTTTGCCTTTGGCATATTGTTCTATTAAAACGTTCATGTACTTGGATTTGCGCGCTATTCTATGGTTCCGTCAGTTTAATTGTGGTTAATTGATCCAGGACCATATTTCCAGTATTGAACGAGTATTGAAACAAAGCATGGGTTTGCAAAGCGTTTACGTTTATGCTTGAGATTTCAGCCCCAAAACCGCTATCCGAGGAATTACAGAATAATCAAGAAGCTCGACCAAAGGCTAAGGAAGAGAATAAATCGAAATAAATTTGCAAAATTCCATCAAACAAGGTACGCAGTAAGCTCAATTCAATCAATATCAAAATCAACCCGTTCACAGTGCTTCTCAAAAACACCTAAGGGATAGACCTTTTTTAAATTACTGCTGTGTTCCTTGATTACAGACTCATTTACTCAGGCTTAGCTCCTTAGCTCTGAATATTCACAAATACCAACGGTAAAATAAAAAATGCACAATTTCAACAATACAAACACTTTGAAATTCCACGGACCTTCAAGGAACACTTGAATATATTCTGCACAAAATCGAGGGTAATTCTGAGCAAGAGAGAACTCGAATCTCGAGTATTGTTGTCGCGATGACGTGGGTTTCGGTGGATTTTCACTTGCCTTTGAAAACTTTGTGTTTATCGGTTTTTCGACGATATCATGGAAACACTTTTATTGACGTCCAACAAAACCCTACTTTTTCGCGCAATCGAAATATGAGTTTCTGCATGCGTGCGCAATGTAAAAGCACCCTGTTAATGCGCACTGGTTCCCCAGATCTTTGTTTCCCTGTATTTGTTGGATGATCTATGAATGACCCATTACTAATATGAGATAAACAGCTTTATTTAAATACAAAAGTAAATTCATCTTTCCATAAGTGAATAATCGATGAAATCTTCTAAGAAATAAATCTAAAAGCGCCTGTCATACGTAATGAGATTTTTGGTATTTACACTAGTTATGAATGTCATCTCATAAAAGTACTATACGCGAAATAGATTGGACTGCAAGTTACAACGTATGCGGCTTTACTATTGGGTTAAGTTATAATCACGTGATCAATTTTGCCCAAATAAATTTTCACTTTATGAAAATATATTACAATATGTGCGATGAAATTCTTTGGAGGTGTTAGTGTTGGACGACTTGATTTGGCCACTATTATTAACAAGGACAATTCCAAAAGAAATCAGATGGCTTATGACATGTTCTTGACTCGTGATTCGCTCGGCAGGCACTCGTATTTCATTCGTAAGAACTTGTACGTTCCAGTGCAGTCGGTCCTGTCAAAGAAAACCGGGCTGGCTACGACTTCACAGGCATTCTCGTCTTCGCACTGTGCTTTGACCTTTCTGATTGTGTTCTGGTCGTCTTGAGGGCACATGGCAGTGGTGCTCAGTCCGTGCTGGACACCATTACGTGTGCATGTTCTGTCGTCATCGCGACCCCAGAAGGCATCATGGATCTTGATGACACGATAAGTTGGGCATTCGACCCATTGTTTTTCGCCTTGGCAGGTAATGGAATCCTTTCTTCCCTGTAAGACAAAAAAAGATGTACAGAAAATTAAATTGTTAATAGAGCTATTTAACTTGGGCGCATTGTTTTTATGTTTCAGATCATGTCATTCCCTGGAGTATCATCTTTTGTCTCGGTAGTTTGAGTTGTATCCCGATATTCATGTGTCTTCTCATGTGGATCCATTAAACAAAATGATCTATACTCTAGGGAATGACACTTGTTTTGACTAAATGGAAAAGCATTGCAACCCAAGCGATGATATTAGAGGATTAAACTAAAGGCAAATGGACTTCATATGATCATAGTTTAAAGAAAACACAAAAAGAAACRTACCAGTTTGTCCGCATTCTCAAGCCCAGCTCCCGGGGGCCCGGGTGGTCCTGGAGGTCCTGGTGGTCCAGGAATAGTTCCACGAGCAACAAGATCCCCACTTCCACTACCGCCGCTACCCTGATCAAAGAAAGGACGTGCTGCAGGTCCGGGAGGTCCGGGGGGTCCCGGGGGTCCTGCTTTACCACCACCATCCTTTTCGTCTCTTACAAAGAATCCTATTGGAACTTGTTGTTGCATGTAATATTGCATCTCTGAGGGGGATATGTGACGTGGATTGCGTACATGAGGTACGCATTGCTGGAAGCATTGACACAATCATTAGTAACATATGCAGACTCAGTTGTATGGATGTGCACTTGCAACACAAGCATTTTTTGCATATGTACACACACATTTCAACTTAGAATAAATTAAATTGTAGATAGGTTCTGGGGGACAATAGGTTGCTATCAATAGACGTCACTTCCGGTAATAGCTCTTTTTTGATGGCTTGTAGAATCCTGGAGGTTGTTTTCATCTCTTGTTTTCTGGTTTGATGTCGTGAAAATAGTCAAATACAATAGTTTGAGGACTTATTTTGATATATTTTGAATTAACATCCACTAGTTGCCCCCCAGTCAACCGCTTGTTTGCCCCCCAGCCAACTCCAAAAAGTCACGTGATTGATAGTAAGCAATAGAGAATAACGCTTGCGCATGCGTGCATTTCAGCACGCTTTCTAAAAATGTTGAAGAGTTTGAGTGAGAAAATAAAAGTTTGTTTTCTCCAAGTATACAAAACATTTCGCAAGTACACTTTTGTGAGAGAGACCAAGATACTTTATAACAAACACAATATGAAAGAATTAGCCTTAAGTTTCAAGTATGGACACTACGTTTTGGCATTTTGTGAAGTCCAATTTATCAGGCATGTTTGAAAGTCAACTTTACATGTTTCACTCATTTGCATACGGATTCAGAGCATGCGCAGACGTTTTTCACCCGTGTCGTTCTGGGGTCTTACCGCTAGAACAGCAAGCACTGCGCATGCTTTTGGAGACCTACCGCTTAGCATGCTTTAGAGGGCTTATCAATAGTATAGCAAGGACAGAAATTACACTGCGCATGCTTCATGAGGACTTACCGCTAGTACAGCAAGACAAAGTCCCGTGGTGATCCACAGGGCTCCTCTTGAAAGCTTCATGACTGAAACAGAAACCCAAATAATTTCATATTACTTAAAAAAATCTCTTTATCGTTTGAGTGCATATTAGTATTCCTATTTCAGACCATTTGTCATTCCCACGAGATTAAGATACTAAGTTCATATCAATGTGTTCTCTCGAAAATTACCGAAAATAATGAAATAACATACAAGAGAATGAAACTTTTTTTAGTATTCAATATTTTTACTCCTCTGGGAGTCGCAAGATAATGGCATTAATTAGGCCCACAAAAGAAACTGAAAAATAACTGAACTGAAAAAGAATTTTGTAAAAAGCTGTATCAAGATGTAGTAAGGAGAACGGAGGGTTTATCGATGATGTAAATGAGAACAACTTATCTATCGTAGGTGAAGCGTAAAAAAAAACAGTTACAAAAATTTAATGGAGCGTGTAACCAAGAAAACCTCTTGCCTTCAACCACTTAATATGACACTCAATACTATTTCCTTGCGTATATCGTCGAATTCATTCGAGAAACACCGAAAATGAAGATTCGTAGTACTATAGGATTTCAACGAAGTAAGTGAATCTGACGACATCGATCAAGTGTGAAGCAAGGATTGAAAAGTCCCACTAAAAATGCTTCAAAATGTTTAGGATTTACGCCAAAAAGCTGTCAGATTGGATTCAATTCTTAGAATGATTTTTTATGGCATAGAGCTATTTCAAAAAATCGTTGAAGGGGCGAGCGAGAATAGGAGATCATTGCAAGATCTAAGAATAGCTGGCATGACGGGTGTTTCTTATCATTAATCTTTTCAACAACACAGAAGTTATTGTTGAGATATTTAGTGTTTGTAGTCAACGAAACCATTTAAAACATCTCGATTTGTGTTTAGATGTATCGGCCCACGGTTTCTTTGGGTCATACAGTCGCTTTTCACCAATCGTCATTAATTCAAACTGTTTTGAAATAGTTGTATATTTAAAGGTTGATACTTTGAGTTCTTTGATCCACTCCAAATATTTGTGTTATCAAATCATTGATGCGTTAAGATGTTTAGCCACCTGTTGGTTCGTGTTGTTGATGTTATGATAGTAATTGGAAAAGGCTGAGACGAAGGCCAATAAAAACTGCAGTTTGAACTTATTAGAAGCCGTCCACAAAAAATATATAATTGGTTTACTGGGAATAATTTGATTAGTATGGGCGAACCCTATACTTTTGTAAATGGAGGCGTACGGAACCTGGGYTATTAGATCGACTGCATATATATATAGATGCGAATCATATACTTTAATGGACAGACAATTGGCCAATCATTTGTTTAGCAATCGATCGATATTGAATAATTCCAGTTAAAATTATTGACTTCGAGAAATAACAGCGAACAAACAGCAAAAAAATATTTTTTTAGCATCTATTTGCCGAATAAACGCTAAAATCTCAAGCCTCAGCAAAGATGTACTACCTCCTTGCACGGTGTTACTTTACATATATCATTCACACATTTCAACCACGAAAATATTACTTAACTTTTTATTCCCAGATTCGTATTTAAATTTGATTGGTGGGAAATACCTCATTTAATTTTGGCGAAAGATGATAGCAATAATTTATAATTTTCTATGTGAAACGAACAATGCATCGCGCGCCTAGACTTGCGTGAGTCCCGTGAAATAATCAGCAGTTACATTTTTTTTCCTTTTAGGGTAAAGTTTTCCCTATCGATAAGTTTTCAGTGTTTTAGCATTCCTGGAAAATATAAAAAGTTAGAAATGACACGAAAGGGAGTGAACAAATTTAACCCTGGGAATCCTTGACGTTCGGTATCGCAAACCGGAAGTTACAACGTACTTCCGGCATATGAAAAACGTTATAWTTCTATTCGGTTAGTTTGCAAAATTTCTGCAAGCAAAACTTTTGCTGTGCTTAAAAGTAATAATCATCAGTGGGTTTTGTAATTTTTTTGCAAAAATGAAAATATGGAATGTGCAGCTCAAAGTTGTTTACAAAAAATGTTCAATGATTTTGCAGGTTGGAAGACTAAACGACAGAAGATCAGGCAAGAGCTGTCAAAATTATAATAAAGAAGCACTCATTTTCTATATTTTCCTTACAAAATAATATATCTATATTGAAGAAGTATTGATTTTTTCAATTGTGGGCAAGTTCTTGAATTTACTGGACTAAATACCGATATATAATGACATGGTCTGTATACACCATGACCCATGCTGGAGATCTTATAAAGTATGGCTTACATATCGTGTTTTTCGATTATAAGATCTTCACAGAATTGAACTGTAAATTTCAAGAAAGCTTGCTTCACTATAAGCTGCCGAAACAATGTTATTTTTATCGATGTATCGTAATTCCATGGACTTTTTTACACAAAAATTTAACAAGAAGCCTTGAAATATCTTAAATGGTATTTCAACTTCACAATAAGTTTAAAATAAAGGAATTAAAGTATATCCTCGTCTAAATAAAATTGATAAAAGACTTACCTCTGCGGTTAACGCTATCAGGAAAAATCAAAATTTTTCCAAAAACGTCTCTCCAAATCAGCGAGACACAGTAAGGTCAAGATTCGCCACAATCCCGCCTTGTTAGGTAATGTTACTCAATTGCTCATTACGTCATCTTCCAAGCTTTCGCCTGACATGTCAATCAACCATGACAACCGGCCCAGTGCGCATGTCGACCAAAGTATTTCTCAGCTTTGGTGGCTATTTTGAGTTAGGACATGACGAGTTAACATCGTTGACAAGCTTGCACTTGAAAAATCTTCACCAAAAAAGATTCGAAACCTTTTCTGCCTGGAAAACCTTTTCAGTTGAAGAAAGAAGATATGCGAATCCTAATTTCTTTGTACTAAGAGTTTCAAACCTCCTTTTCGTTTTTTTCTTTTTTCCCCTTTTTTGGTAAATCATTACTGGTAATGAAGAACAGCCACCAGTAATAATAGTCAACTATAGATGATGATTTGATGTAAGGTACCCGTACACTTCGCACTACAATCAAGGGTCACTGATGAAGAAACCTCGTTAATGTTACTAAATTGTTCGATGATCTTTACTGATTTGGATGTGATCTCTTTTACTATATTCATGTTTCTTCTTGTTTCTTTTGCTATTGTTTGGTGGTTGATTGTTCAGCTGTTTGTAGTTATCCAGTCCAGTTAATAAAACACCTGCCGTTATAAGAGATGAGGTTTCGAAGTCATGCAGTTGTGAAAATCAATGGTTCACAGGGTTGTAAACGATAGAGAGTTTGGTAGCCTTGATAATAAAGATGCAACACCACCACCATCATCATCATGATCGACATTCGCCTCCATCATCAAAATCTACATTCGACACCACCATTATCATGAACAATCTAAACTCACCACTCACCACTCACCACCACCACCACCACCAYCATCATCATGAACATAGACTTACCAACACCTTGTCATCATCCTCTTATCCAACATCATCAACATCTACATTCAGCAGCACCATCACCATCTACATTCAGCAGCACCATCATCATCATCATCAACATCTACATTCAGCACCACCATCACCATCAACATCTACATTCAGCACCACCACCACCATCACTTCCAGCATCTCCACAATAACCTGTAACGCCTTCAACATCTTCAGTCACCATCGCCATCAGCATCTTCAACATCACCCTCACCWCCACCATGATCATCATCAAAACCATCTACACCATAACCATCACCACCACCACCACCATCACAGCACCACCAACATCATCAGCATCTACAATTACCACCACTAAAACTACCACCATCTCCACCACCACCTCCACCACCATCACTTCCAGCATCTCCACAAAAACCTCTAACGCCTTCATCTTCAGTCACCATCACCATCACCATCTTCAACACCACCTCCACCCCCACAATGATCATCATCAAAAACATCTAGAACATTACCACTATCAACTCATTATCGCACCATCATCAGTAATGATGATCATGATCATAAACAACAACAACAGTCTACATCTACACCATTACTACTATCATTTTATTATCGCATCATCAGTAATATGATGATCTTGATCATAAACAACGACAACAGTCTACATCTACACCATTACCACTATCATTTTATTATCGCATCATCATCAGTAATGAAGATCTTGATCATAAACAACGACAACAGCCCCTGCAGTGGCTATTAAAATAATTAAAAACAAACATATTGATACCAGTGATACGTACAAAAGCCTAACATGCATGCTGCCAATCCCTGTCAAACAAGTTGCATCTAAGACAACGGGTGCGCCGTTACTATGGCAAACGGTGACAACATTAATAACAATTTCTTTGATAAAAATTCAACTGCTCTTTGCAATGAAAGAAGAATAGAAATTCATTCTTTATGAACATTAGTTTAAATATTTTGCTGCTTTCTTCTGCTCAGTTCATAAGGCTAGGGCAACCTGATACTGTAGTTCAAAAGATCAATACAACTAATGTTGCCTAGGTTTTGCTAGTTGTTTTTTTAGGTTTTGCTACTAAACTTCCCATATGCTTGTTGCACCGAAATATTTGACAATTAGTTGCTTTAATGACAAGAAATGGTCAATAATTTTGAAGCTAAGGCATCTCTTAGCCTGAAATGGAAGGAAGGAAGGAAGGAAG